AAGGTAAAAAGTGAAGCCTTAAAATGGCATTTTTAGTAATATATTAATTTTTTTTCAGAATGAAATTTTCACATGTGGAAAATTTTCTTTAGGTCTTATCATTTTGGGAAATAGGGCGTATCTGCGTGTGAGCAGCTAATCCACTTGATGTCAGTGTTGCTTTAAAAAAAAATCTACTCTGAGAGGACTTGTCTAATAGAGTCCTTCTGTCACAAAGGAAGCCACTTTTCAATGCCTTTTTTGGGGTTAATCATGAAAACCCTATGCTTTAGGATCCCCTTATACCAAAGAAAGTCAGTGAATATGGGGAGTTGATGTTTTCATTAACTGTTGTTAATGTTGTCTAAGTCTCTTCCTCCTTTGTACCAGACAGTGTGATAAATATGGCCTTTCAGGAGATGAAGTTTTGTTTTTGTTATTGAAGAAGTCAGAGGGCAAATGCTGGAAGCTTATCTTTTAAATGGTTTAACAAAGTGTATGACAAAACAGTCTTTCCTATTTTACTTAGATTTTTAGAGCAAGGAATCTGTAGGTATGGTGCCCAGTGTACTTCAGCACATTCCCAGGAAGAACTAGCAGAATGGCAGAAAAGATATGCTTCACGACTGATAAAATTGAAACAGCAAAATGAGAATAAACAGCTCTCAGGCAGTTACATGGAAACCCTGATAGAAAAATGGATGAATTCATTATCTCCTGAGAAAGTGGTGAGGAAAATAAACTACATTTTTTGTTCGTTTGTCTTAACACATTAACTACCACGTGAGTTGTATTTAACTCATGCTAGTTTTGAGCCTGGGGCCTCGGGAAGCATATGTGACTCACGTCTCTTTACCTTGGGAGCTGTGACAACTATTTTTCAAGTTGTATATGACTCATACACAAAAAACAATAAAAATAACAAATTTTTCAATAAATTAGAAAGGATCGTTTTGTTTTTGACGTTTTTATTCTATTTTCATAATAGAACACTGTGGCCCCAAGGAAAATTTTTTTTCTAATGTGACACCCAATGTGTTAAACAATGAACTTGTTTGAGTCTTGACTTTATTATGTGCTATATTTTGGTTATTTCCTTATCTTTTATATGAAGAACTTGATTCTGCTAAAATAATGTTTTTAGTAGCAAAAGTAGACCCATTTGTTAAAATAAAGAGCAGAACTAAATCATTTGGCGATTTGCTTGTGCTATATTAATTACCTGCATTTATGCAGTTTTTGCCTGGCATTTTGTGATAGTTGTTAATTTTCTTCTGTCTCTTAATTTAGCTTTATTATATTTTGTTCTTATCAAAATAACTGAAAGTGAATGTATAAAATAAAAATACCTTGCTTAACAGTTCTGACATCTTTACTGTTGACATTTATTTACCATGCAGAAAGTTTTTTTTTGTGCTTTTAGCAGTAAAAACATAACATGAACTGCTCTCTATTTTTAGCTTAGTGAATGTATAGAAGGAGTAAAGGTAGAACATAATCCTGACCTGTCGGTTACTGTCAACACCAAAAAATCTCACCAGACATGGACCTTTGCTCTCACTTGTAAGGTATGAATTTTGTACTAATTAAAGAACATAAATTTTGCCCAATTTTCTCAAACCTTTTTTGGACCTTTACATATCTGTGTTAAAAGAGCATTGAAAGTATTTTAATCTAAGTACATAGTTATATATTGTGCTAAAGTGTATTTCTGTATTTCAGTCTTTGAAAGTACAGTTTTTTTTTTAACCTTTGAGATAAGATCTTTGTAGATGTTTAGGATGCTTTCTTATTATTTGGTAAGGAGATCTTTGACATATTGTCTTCTAAACTTGGAACATAGGATGGGGTTCATGGCTTATAATTATTTAAAATTGATTATTTAATCTGGTGTTTCTAAGATTTTTAAACAATGACAATTTGTTTTTATGTTTAATTTGATGAAATCACGAATTCTATAATAATGGGTTTTTTTTGTTTTTTTTTTTTTTTGAGACAGAGTCTCACTGTGTTGCCTGGGCTAGAGTGCCGTGGTGTCATCCTAGCTCACAGCAACCTCAACTCCTGGGCTCAAGCAATCCTTCTGCCTCAGCCTCCCGAGTAGCTGGGACTACAGGCATGCGCCACCATGCCCGGCTAATTTTTTCTATATATTTTTAGTTGTCCGATTAATTTCTTTCTATGTTTAGTAGAGACGGGGTCTCGCTCTTGCTCAGGCTGGTTTCGAACTCCTGAGCTCAAACAATCCGCCCGCCTCGGCCTCCCAGAGTGCTAGGATTACAGGTGTGAGCCACCGTGCCCGGCCTAATAATGGGTTTTTAATATGGGATATTTTCTGCGACAATTCCCATTTTAAAATTATAATAGTTACGCTCAATGGAAAAGTTGTATGTACTTTTTGGTGGTGTTTCTACCACTGTGCCATCTGTATCTTGAGATGAACAATTCAAGAATACTTAGCATCAGCCTTGAACCCAATCCAGTGTTTCAGAGGTAATTGCCCTCTTATGAAGGCTTCTTACTTGAGGGTACATAAAACTTTTTTAGGCAAAGAGTGCAGAAAGTTGGAGGTTGATGGTTATCCAGGGTGATAGCTTTTGCCACAATGAAAGATGAACATATCACAGAAAGAGCAGGGAGGTTAGTGATGTAGCATAAATATATAGTTTTGACAACTGATTTTTAAAATACCATTCTGCTTTTTTTCTTAAATGGCTTATGAGCACAATTGGTATTTTTAACATAATATCTTAGAAACATGGGAAAGTAAGAGTCCCTTATGGAAGTATTTTCATTGAAGAGCCCAGTTACAATTGGATTTTTACCCCCTTGTACTCAATGAATTATTTTAACTTCCTTGTAGCCTGCAAGAATGCTGTATCGTGTAGCATTGCTTTATGATGCTCATCGTCCTCATTTTAGTATCATTGCAATATCTGCCGGAGATAGTACTACCCAGGTATCACAAGAAGTCCCAGAAAACTGTCAAGAATGGATAGGAGGAAAGATGGCCCAAAATGGATTAGATCATTACGTGTATAAAGTCGGGATAGCATTTAACACAGAAATATTTGGAACTTTTCGCCAAACCATAGTTTTCGACTTTGGATTGGAGCCAGTACTCATGCAAAGAGTAATGATTGATGCAGCTTCTACAGAAGGTAATATTTAGACTTTTTTCCCCTGATACGATGTATTAAAAGGCAACATTAAAAGATATGTATTGGCCCCTAAATGTTCCATGGATAGGCAGGGAATAATAAGGGAAAAAAATCCCAAGTTAATTGACTCATTTACTGTGTAATGGGCTTAAAATGGTTCACATTGGGCCCTGTTGTCTTCATCCAGTCATCAGGCAAAGCTTGAGCTTTGAGGTTCCCTAAACTTATATGAGTAGATGATCAAGTCTGTTTTGGTCTACCAACTTCATTTTAAAGTAAGATGGTTTTAGCACAGTAGTCTCTTTCAATATTAGTCTGGGTAGAATAATATCACTTTAATGGTAATTGTGTATACACGTACGATGTTTATTTTCATGTCCTACTGACTGTCCAGTTAACTTTGCTAATGTTAGTACATTATCTCTGAATGAAAAGTCCTAAATATAAGCCTTCATAAGTCAGTTCGTACATTCACTAGTGTTAAGGAGACCAAGATGCTTTTAATAGGATCTGCTTTGTGTTTTTGAGAAGTTGTCCCTGGTTTCTATATGTAAGCAGAACATGATGAATTACTTTGTATGTTGTCACATTACTGCCTGTACCTAAATTTTATGCCAAAACAAGACAAGGAAAGGGCATGTTATCCCACATTTCTTTGGCTCTTGGTTGGATTTATAGGTGTTTTATTTAACAAAGACTAAATATTTAACAAACCCTTCACATAGCAGAGCTGTATGAAACTTGCTGTTGTGTGGACTATAGCTAACTATAATATATTGTGGAGGATGTTTTTCACCATGTACCATAATGTCCCATTCATGAGAACCTAGAAGAACTTGTTTCTCATGAGCAAATACTAGGATTTTGTTTTTTGGAAACAATGAACGGTGAAATTGGTCTGTCTACCTCTCTATTTCAGTTGCTAGTGAGGTTAAAGCAACATTTGTGTCCAAATTTAACAATTAGGTGATATCTTCTTGTATGTTACACAGACTTTATTTTATCCTTATTTCCCACTTTCTCTGATCTCTTTTACTTGTTTTTATTCTGTAGAGTTTATTTTTGTCATCTTCTCAGTACTCTTTGGAATCAGAATAAATTAAATTCCGTAGCCAAACGGATACGATAGTTGACAAAATAAAAATAAAGTATTTGGTTTATATCTAATAGCATAGGGTTTGGCAATTTCTTTCTGCAAAGGGCCAGCTAGTAAATATTTTAGGTGTTTCAGGGCAGATGGTCTGTGTTGCAGCTACTCAGCTCTGTATTGGAGTGAGAAAGCAGCCATAGGCAATACGTAAACTAATGGGCGTGACTGTGTTTCAATAAAATTTTATTTTCAAAAACAATGGCTGGATTCGGCTTTCATGCTGTGATTTGCTGTACTAGTAAGCTCCTTTTAGAGACCAGAATTTAGCACCTTTTTTAAATCATAAGGAGATTTAAATAATACAGAGAGATCAACATGCATCCCCTCCTCTCAAATATAACTAAAACGATGTTTTTGGCTTACATGTGTGTTGTTTTTTAAAAGTTTGCTTTTAGATAGGTGGCTTATAACTCATGACTTGCTTTCCCACAGAAATAAGCTTGTAAGTATTGTCAAGAATCCTTACTAGTTTTAAAAGATTTACTTAGTAATATAAAATGTTAAATGTCTACAATAAAAAGTAAAAGAAAGTGATACTATTTATTAAAATAGATGATAATCAGAGAAGGTGGTGATGAAGAGAATTTCAGGGTGCTTTCATGGGCTTGAGAAGAGTGAAGGTACTTTGACTACTTTTGCCTAAGATAAATTTTACTTTTCTAGTTGGAAAAGAAGAGCAGTGGATGAAATTCAGAGTCAAATAGAATTGGATTCAGATCCTGATTTTCTGCTTATTACCTGTGTGACCCTGGGCAGAGTACTTAACATCTCTTAGCTTCATGGGGAAACATCTCTAAAATGGAGCTAGTTTTATCTGTCAGAGGATTGTGAGAATTTGAAATAAGTCTTGCACAACATCTGGCTCATAGTAAGCACTTAGTCAATAGTAGCTATTATTTTTATCATTAGTCGTGATTAGGATAATTTTGGGCTTATACAAGGAATGAAGAAAGGAAAAGAGAGGGAGGTTTTTGTTTTTGTTTTAAATGAGGACTGGGACTAGGGTGCTAGCAGAGGGACTAAAAAGCAGAAATTAAAGACCCAAGCCGTGGCACCTGCAGATCTCGGCAAGGGAATGTAATATAGGGGTTGAAAGAGAAGTTGTCCAAGATGACTGATGCTTTGAGCCTAGTAACTGGAGGGAATAAAGAGTCTTCTTTCTGCTGTTTCAAATATATAATTTTGAGGATATAATGAATTTTATATTTCATTCAGCTAGGGTAGAGGGAATTAATACAGACAAGGATATCCTCCTCCTTTTTTACAATACTATATCCTTTAGTGACCTCTTTATAGTTTAATACCTTTGTCTGTTTTCCCTTAAATAACGTTCTACCTTTAAGTATTTATGTTATGGAAAGTAATTGAAAAAATTAAGCATTTTCTTGACTGATTTGGAAACATTAAAACCATTTCACAGAGAAATTTGCTTTTCAAGGACAAAGAAAAAATAACTAATACAGGAGAACAATGTAAAATCTACAGAATGTATTTTCTGATATAAGATTTTGAACATTGTAAAAAGAAAAACTTAAATATAGATTAGGCAAACAAGATGGCATTTGCCTAACTTTTTTTGATCGTTACTCAAATCAGCTGACTTTTGCTAATTTTTAGTTTCATCTAATTCCCCACTTTTAAAATTGATGCCATTGAATATCTTACCATTTCTGTTAAGTTCTTAGCATTTTTATTGCACGACTACATTTGTTTCAGTGTGATTGTACAGAAGTCCTAACAGAATTCTGAAGAAATGAAAGCAGTATTTAAACAGTATAGTATTTATTTCCTGCTTCTGTCTTAGTACTAGTTAGTGTTTTTGATTATCACAGCGAGTTCCTGTCAGCAAAAAATTTTAGGGCACAAAATTTGTTTATGTGAAATCACATTTTATAAAATATTCTGAGACAATAAAAATGTAAAATGGCAGTGTCCTATTTTGTATCTTTTCCTGGAACACTTGTGTGGACAGCGTTCAGAGACATTGAGAGCAAGATAACTACTTTGTTAAATTGTTAACAATGCGGGAGCCTGGCTAATTTAATCTCCAGCTGGCCGTCTGTTAGCTCAATGTTTCCTAAACTGTGTCCTACTGAAATTAATAGTAATACCTATGGTACAGGGTTCCATGTACAAATAAGTCTAGAAATGCTGCATGCTTTATTTCTCTCTTAGAGCCACAGTGTACCTCACGTGATTACAGGTGCTCAGTGTCTGTCAGACTGATTTGAACACGGGACTTAGTTACGTTAGTGTACTACTCATCGAAACTTAAAATCAAGTTGTGTAGCAGACATTTATATTTCTCTAATTCACTGTTCAGTATTGAACTAAAAATCCTACTTTAGTTAACACAAATTTGAATAGGGCCAGGGTTGGGGGGGTGTGGAAAAACCATATATACATATTTTTTCATTACTGTTATGATACCTAAAGCACCCAGACCTTTCTTATACATAGGCCATGAACGAATTTTTCTTTCTCTAGTCATTCTATGGCAATCCTGTAAACTTTTCAGGGAATATGTATAACTTTAACTTTGCTTTTTTAAGTTTTTCTCTTGTTGGTGAGATTTCAGGTTCAGAAAAAGACACTATATACTAAAATTTTTTTTTTGGACTAAAAATATACTTCTCAAAAATGTGTGCAAAAGGCATCAACAAAGGCAGGAAGTTAGTGAGTTTTCTCCTTGTTTAGAAAACAAACTACATTATATGCTTCCTATGACAACTTTGATTAATGGAAAATTTTGTTTGGCAAAATTGATTTGGAATTCTGTTTTTAATATTTGGAAGCAACATATTGAAAATTAACTCTTATGTTTAAGTCTGCAAACTTGATATCATACATTTCTCTAGTTGAGTCTAACAGTATATGTTGGCATTAGCATTAAAATTTAGTATGACTTAAAAATTATTGCCAACTGCCAAAGTTGTTGCTAAATTAAGACCATACTGTGTGTGTGTGTGTGTGTGTGTGTGTGTGTGTGTATGTAATATTATGGGATCAGAAAAGTAATAGAAAGATAGATTAAAATAGTTTATTAATAAAAGATAAATGTAACTGAGTAGAAGCATGTAAGAAGTGTGAGGTATTTCTTATGCTATTATCCTGCTGTTTTAACTATTGTTAGCCTCTTCAAGAGAGAGAAAATAGGAACAGACAACATGGGCAAACTAAGAGGCATTCATCTTCTATGTAGCAGTTTTGGTGAAAGGAAGGATACTGAAATGGATAGCTGGTAGTTTGGATTACTTTGGGATTATATTTTATTGTTAACTTGGGCAGTCAAGACTTATAAAGCCACAGACCAAAATGTTAATATTGTCTAAGGAAGAGTGTGGTATCTGATTTTGGAATTAGGAAGCATTTCATTTTATTCTTTAAATCCTAGATAAATATAGCTGTTTTTAATAAATTCCATATTTAGCATCCAGTTACTGCTTGCCTCTTATGTCAGACTTTTTGACGCTGGCACATGCGGATTTTTTTTTCAAGATTCTTTTTTTGTATTGCATATTTAGACTGGATTCTTTTTTCCCTTACTTCTTAACTACTCTCCAGGTCCTGTTAAAGATATTTTTCAAGTCTACTACTACATACTTCAAGACAAAAAAACAAACCCACTCTTTGGATGCTTTATTAGAGTAGTAAATGTGTGGTTAAAATGAGAGCACTGCTATTCTCAGTATCAGAAGGACAAGGGGAGTTGGGAAGTGTATCCTGTGGCAGACTAGTTATTTCAACCTTGAATTCTATTTTTGCCAGTGGCAGCTCTTCCCTTATGTTATCTTCAAAAGAGTAGGTATGTTCTAATTATCTTTAACTTTTTCTTATGGACTTCTCTTAAAATATGTTTAGAGGTTCTGCCTACCACATCTCAGGGTAACATATTCCATAGGTCTACAATTTCTTTAGGTTAGTTTTGAGATTTTTTTATTATAGGAGCAGGTTAATAAGTCAGTGATAAACTCTCTCCAAATGGTTTTATAAATATTGATCCTAACCCGTTCGCTTTTCGTCTTCCCTCTGTGTTTTTCACCTTCACCTGTTTTAGGTTGAAGAAAAGTACATACCAAGGATGAACTAGCTCAGGCTGGCCTGAGTAGTGCATGTGCCTGCTTAGATGTTAGCAGGTACACATGTGCTGTGGGGTGGGGGATGACAAAGAGCTCAAGTAGTAATGATTATTTGTCTAGTGTCCCCATAAGGGGACCTCACCTCCCTGTATTTAAAGAGACACTCCCAAGACCTAACAACCTTTAAGCATTATAAGTTTTGTAAGTTAGGTGGGTTATTAAACAGGTTTATAATAAGTTTCTTCTTACAAGTGAGAGGAATGGGACCAGAAGTTTGACTCAAGTTCAGATGAAGTAGGGAAAGAAAAGTGGCTTTTGTAAAATATATCCTTTGTGGTAGCCTCTGGCCACAATTTATAGCTGACATTTTAATTAGTGACTTAGATGAGTAGTTTGAAGACTTTTTGATGCTAGCATACATGGATTTTTTTCAAGATTCTTTCTGCTCCCCAGCTTTCCCCTTTCCTGTGCTGTTTGTTTTTTTTTTTTTTGAGACAGAGTCTGGCTCTGTTGCCCTGGCTAGAGTGCTGTGGCATCAGCCTAGCTCACAGCAACCTCAAACTCCTGGGCTCAAGCGATCCTCCTGTCTTGGCCTCCCGAGTAGCTGGGACTTCAGGCATGCGCCACCATGCCCGGCTAATTTTTTCTGTATATATATTTTTAGTTGTCCAGATCATTTCTTTCTATTTTTAGTAGAGACGGAGTCTCGCTCTTGCTCAGGCTGGTCTCGAACTCCACCCGCCTCGGCCTCCCAGAGTGCTAGGATTACAGGCGTGAGCCATTGCGCCCGGCCTTCCTTCTGTGCTGTTTATATTCACTTTAAATAAATGGAATACTATTTAACATTGTTTGAAATTGTTTTGAAATTGTTGCACTACCTGCTGAAGACACTGAAAAATTATTTAATTTTTATGGATTCATAATTATACATATTTATGGAGTACATGTGATATTTTGATACAAGCATATAATTTTAAGAGTTTCACAAAATCAGGGTGGGAATCAGGGTACTGTCTAGATAAAATGAGAAAAACAAATACTATCACTGATGCCACTTTTCCCAAAAAGCCTGAATACTTTTAGCCCAGAGTAGAAAGTATAAGTTGGTTTGCATATTAAATAGGTGATTCAGAAAGTTTTTTCAAAGGAAAACTCCATCATTTTAGGTTTGTTATTGTCTCAGCTCCTTAAACATCAGTTAGAAATAACTAGTGACTTTTTAAAGTGCATGAACATAATATCGATCTAGGCATAGCATAAATTAATTAAAATAAAGTAAAATTAAAAAAATTATTAAGTATAATTTTCCCACCCCGAAAGAGCAGTCAGACATCCTTTTAAAACTACATATTCTTAATAAATAGATTCTTCACTATTATGTAGAATTTAATTTTAAATTTTTTTTTTTTTTGGAGACAGAGTCTCACTCTGTTGCCCTGTAATGGGCTTAAAATGGTTCACATTGGGCCCTGTTGTCTTCATCCAATCATCAGGCAAAGCTTGAGCTTTGAGGTTCCCTAAACTTATATGAGTAGATGATCAAGTCTGTTTTGGTCTACCAACTTCATTTTAAAGTAAGATGGTTTTAGCACAGTAGTCTCCTTCAATATTAGTCTGGGTAGAATAATATCACTTTAATGGTAATTGTGTATACACGTACGATGTTTATTTTCATGTCCTACTGACTGTCCAGTTAACTTTGCTAATGTTAGTACATTATCTCTGAATGAAAAGTCCTAAATATAAGCCTTCATAAGTCAGTTCGTACATTCACTAGTGTTAAGGAGACCAAGATGCTTTTAATAGGATCTGCTTTGTGTTTTTGAGAAGTTGTCCCTGGTTTCTATATGTAAGCAGAACATGA